CCTAGCTTTTTCTCCTCTTGGAACCTTGCTCTAATTCCCATAACTGCTAAAGAATGTGAAAAAATTGAATTAACATTGTTTCAGACCTTAATTGGGTGAAGAAAAACGTTGCTAGGCTTAGAAGGGATGGGAATAGACCAAACTATCTTTCTATAAACGATTGAGGTGCCTTAAAAGAGAGGCCTTCACTAAAACGGACATTACTTTTTACTCCGAGCTCGGAATTAAGAAAACTTAGCGGTGTTGGAAAGAGGACTCAATGACCTCTAATTTGATAGGTTATGAGCCACTTAATTCTTTATGTGATAAGAGATATATTCATTTGAAGTCGACCCAAAACTAAAAATTGATGGGTGACTTGCATGAACCCCTTTTTTATCCCTTTTTAAAGTCCGACGTGTTACACTGTGATAACATTAAAGGAAAACATCATTTTCCTCCTCGTTATAGGAAAGCACAAAAAGGCCAGAGAAAGGCATTTAAATGTTTATGGTGATTTTAAAAGTCCATTTAAGAAATTACCTCGATATATGGTTGGACAACAATTATTCAATCCTGGCACAATTTTTGAGTGGGAGCACCATTCTACAACAATGCAAGATGAGCAAATCTTCAAAAATAAATTGTGCTTTTAAACAAAGCATTAATGGTTTCACAAGTTATAGGCCAATCATTTCAATCGACGGCACACACCTTTATGATTTGTATGATATGAAATTATTATTTTCTTTTGCGATTGATGCGAAGGAAACTATTTTTCCACTTGCATATGCCTTAGTTGCACGTGACGAGTCTTGGTCATGGTTTCTCAAGTTATTGTGGACCTATGGCATTTGTGAACGACAATGAATTGGTCTAATTTTTTACCACCATCAAGGAATCTTGCAATGTATTCATTCTTATGATTGATTGAGTCCACCGAACACATATCACAAATTCTGTGTTCGACTCTTAAAAGCAAATTTTAATTAAAAAAATATGTAGATAGTGAACTTGAGAAATTAATGTGGTTAGCTGCTACAGAGCATTAGAAGAAGAAATTTGTGCAACAAATCAAAATATTGTCCCTTGCAGCATATATATGGTTAAATGAACTTCCTTTGAAAAAATGGACATTGTATTAAGATGATGGTCGTAGATGGGATTCCATGACGATAAATGTGTCTGAGTCGTATAATGATTTATTGAAAAAAGCTCAAGGGCTTCCTGTGACTGACATGGTTCGCATAACGTTCAACACTATTGTTGATTGTTTTGCCGAAAGAAATAACATTGTTGTCGCATTACTTCAAAGTAGAATGTTATGTCCTCTTGCAATAGATAAGAAGTTTAATGATAATTATCAAAGAGCCCAAGGGCACACTGATTTGATGACTTACAACACTGGTGATGGAGAATTTCTTACTTTTGCTCATGATGATAAAGGTGGAAATGTCCGCATGGTTACTGCAAAAGGTAAGCAATGTTCTTTTGGAAAATGGAAAAACTATCATATGTCATGCTCGCACGCTATTAAATTTTGTGGGTTCCATGGAATCGAGCCAAAATCTTATGTAAACAAAATTTACAATACAAAATATTGTCTAGTTGATCATCTTAGAGATTGAAGACTTGGTGAGTCTTCTACTTCGAGGACACTATCACTTTTATTGCTTTCCTTATATTTTAGTTTTCAGACTTTGTATGTGGTGTACACGTTACATCCCAACCACTCTTTGGATGTAATAAATGGCTTGTCAAGACTTTGTTGTACTTTTGCTTATATGTCAAACTCTTTAATTCTTATGAGATTTCTTGATTTTCTCTAATATGTTGAGTATATGTATGTCGGGTGGCTTGTGTAGGGCCTCTCAGAGTCTTTTACTCCATGTCACATCTAGGGTGCACTTTCGGTCGTGACATACTGTCATGAGCAGTTGAATTCGGGAAAGCTTCTAAAACGAATAAATACAAGAGCGCAGAAATCAAGAAATGGATAATACTAACTTTGTGATAAAACTGAAGGAAACAAACAAGTTGTGTATTTAAGAGAAAGAATTAATGATTTTGATTTGAAGGAGTCTAAAGAGGCAAGGAGTTTGAATGTAATATGGGAAAGGTAGGAGGAAAGAAATCTCTCTACATGAAATACAAGTGCCATGGGTCTGATCGTAAAAAGCCAAATAAATTCGACAAGTACTTCCTTTCTATAACTTCTCATACTACAAAGTACAAACTAATATAAATAGTATCAACCTCGAATCATATATATTTTAACTTGCTATTTTCCATGTCAAGATTACACGACACACATTCTTAATGTCTGGTGTTGCTATATATGTCAAAGAAGCAACTTATGTCGATCGAGAGAAACAAAGGAGTACATTAATGTCTTGCAAGGGTGAAACTAAAGAGGGTCACCGGAACACCACCTATCAAGCATGGGAAGGCATTGTTCTGGCTTGAATTCAGGAGCATTATGACCCGCACCCTAAATGAATTAATTCAAGGAAAATCAAGATGCAATGATGTTGGTTTAGAGTTGTTGCAATAGGGAATAGTCGTTACCTTAACAGTTGCATATGTCAGCTCATAGTCATTTTGTAAATACTTCACCTTGTATCTACATAAACGAAGTATTAGAAAAATCAACAAATATCGGGTGGGAAAAAAAAGCATTAGAGAGCAAGAAACCAACCCTGCCACTTGACCGTCGATAAACCAAGGCTCCCAATCACTTGCAATTGGCAGCTTCAAAGTGTTTATCCATTCTTCCGTGCTCAAATGAGGAACAATCATGTCATGGTCACCACTATCAAAGTAAAAATAAAAATTCATCAAACAGTCTATTCTGGTAACTTTTTTCCAGTGATTAGGCTTACTATAGTACTAATAATTGCTTATTTTTCTTAAGCCTGAACACAAGTTGATACCTCTTGTTTCTTTGTCTTTTTCGTTTTTTCCATTATCTAGTGATTAGTAAAACACAAAGGACAATCTTTCTAAGGTTAGTGATTAATATAGTAAGTTCACTTAGAAGAACGGTGTAACATGAAGAAGAAGAGAAGTTATCTTGGAGTAATACCTATAAATTAGTGCTCGACAGGATTTGTTGGTGAGATGCCGATGATAATCAATGGCACTTGGGACATCATACGCATATGACTCGGTTCTCTCCTTACCTCTATAACGCATGCTTTCATTGCATCTCACCCACTCCAATGTCGTTCCCTGGGTTTTTTACATGACCATATCATTCAAAAACCAACTGGTTAGCATTAGATATGGACAATAGGAATAAAAACTGTATTTGCATACCTCACGAACGTTTAGTGCTTTCTGGACAGCTTTATC